TGAACAAGTTTTGGATTCTTGGAATATCAAGGTGAACCATCACTGACAGACCCATCTTCTGATTAAGTGGATTGACCTTCCCATCAAAGATGCTACAGGGGAACCATTGACTCCCATGGTTCAACAATTCCCTGACTTTGACCTTGAGGACAATGTCCGCCTTGTAGGACAGGGCAATGATAGGAGGAGCTCGCCTAGTAACCAAGGCCCCTCGCACAAGCTGTAACAGACTGATAACCGTGCTTTGCCATAGGGGATACCAGGACGTTGAAAGAATATTATCAAACCCATTCGTTTAAGAGAATAGAAACTGATCAAGGATAACTTTAGTTAGTTACGCATTGTGCGTCTCTAGTTTAACTGTTTTCTGTTAAGCATCTCTCTCTATATATATCATTACAGTATGAATGATAAGGGAAGGAAAGAAATTCCCCTTTTTCTCATCTCTATCTCGCCTTTCTAGAGCTTCCCTCACGCTCGAAGTAGTGCAAATTCTTCCAAACCCTATCAAACACCTAAAAATTAAGAAGAAGAAAATCAAACAGAAAGGGGGAGCGATGACAAAGTTACTTGGTCAGGTTTTGGCTTTAAACCAACCACTGTAATGAGAGCTGATTGAGTTCGATCTCGGTTCATTCATCCTTTGGTGCAGCAACCAGCATGATCTTTGCCCGATTAGAGTGGGAAACATAAAGAGTTCTACTACTATAACTTTGCATTTATAGGCAGGAGATTAGAGATGTGAGCTATCCTTTGTGTCTCAAACTGCTGGATCATATTTCAGCTAGAGGTCTGATACTGCAATAGGAGATACCAAGAATGTATTGCTCCTAGCCTTCTTTTTTGAAGGATGATGACTACGGGTGACCACAACTGAGGACTTGGAGAGAAGAAACCGATCACCTGGGAGTAGATTTCATCTGAACTAGGAAGGATGCGACCTCCAGTTATGGTTATTCTTCTCAATTGGCAAACAATGCAAAACTCATTAATATGTGAAACTATACTGGCAACGATGAGAACTCATGAAGGAAGGAGAAGAGGGAGGAGAAAGAGAAAAAAAGAGAGAATAGATGGAGTGGGAGAAAGATGGGAGGCGAGGGGTTTTCGATCCAATTTGCAACTGCAACGAGTTGTAGCTTTAGTGTCGGTATCAATAAAAAAGACTTCATTAATAGGAACTAGGATTGGAAAAAAGGAGAGGAAAATCGTGATCTTCACAAAAGAAGAGGACAAAGCAGAACCTGAAAAGGCAAACCAAGAATGCAAGAATACAACAATAATGCCTCATCCGGAAGTCCTTGAAGAGAACTTCCAACGGATACTACTAACAAACAAGCATAGAAATAGTGAAATACAATTGAGAAGAGTCCCAATACAGCTCACTTCTCCCAATGTCTCCCCTAGCATTACTATCAATGAACAGCTTAGCCAACCTTGGATCCATTTGAATGGTATGCTCACTCATGAAGGTGAAGTCTTCAGTACCCTTCTATGGTAAAAAAGATACCCCAAAGCCAATAGTACCTTCTCTCACCCAGCTAATGATTCTTTGTTTCACCCTCTACCTCTCTACAATCAAATCCCACAAATAACATCAATCTAAGACCCTGAAGAAGCATTAGAAACTTTGCACCAATCAAGCCTCCTTGGCCAATCTGACCCGGGAAGTGTAGCATAATCTCATTTCTCTGTCCATCCTATCCCTTTTTTCTCCCATTGAACATTTGACCTCACATTAGAATTAAGTTTGAGTACTACTTGAGGATATGGGAAATGAATATAGTCTACATGCTAGTCTGTGTAAGTGTTAATTTGCTATGAATTGCCATCCTTTAGCCCTCCAAGCACTGATCAAGAGTCTAAGATATAAATTATACTCTTGAAAAAAATCCAGTGGGCCATTCTCAAGGTAATGAAATAAAGATGAGTCTTGGTGGATTGCTCTTTACTGTTGAAAGCCTACATGTTTCTCCCACCATTTGTTCATGGGGCACATTTCAGCCCAAAAAAATCCAGTGGGCACATTAAACTAAAGCACCTTTCTTTTGAGCATTTTTTATATTAAGAAATTCCAACTTTCAACAATATGTTAGGGGCTGATCGATAAAAATGAAGTGGCTGAATTAGTTTTGTCTATTAGTGAATAAGTTTTTCAAGGAGGTTGTTTATGGGCTCCTTAATGGCTGAATATTTTATCATTTAATTACTTAATCCACTAAAAACAAGGCAATAAGTTGTTCATTTCAGCAATTTCACTTTTTACCAATGGCCTTTTCGTTAAAACTCCAATTAATCTTGGTTACAATGCTAAAGTAACTGGACAAATTCAAGGGTTTTCAATCCAACAGTCTAGGTTGAGATTGACCAAATAAGTTGGGAAGATTACTACACCCTTCAATATTTATTATAATCACTTGATTCACTAAAAGCAAAGCAAAGCAAAACAAACTGGGTAGAGAACTAATTGCTAAAGGCGACCTCTAAGGTTAGTAACTAAGGCCTCCTTTGGTGTGTCTTTCTGTGTGGTCTTTCAGATGTTTATAAGCCAAGTAGACTGTGTCGTGGTCTTTTTCTATTTGGTCCATAATAGATATAGCCGCCAAAAGTCGATGCACTGAAAAGATGTGAGAAGCCCATTTTGGGCTGATTTCAGGAAGCTCCAAATGGAGCTTTTCGCGTCTTTTTCACTTTATTCTTGTGCAGAAAGACGCAGTTGCCAAATTAGTTTTGGGCTGCTTAGATTTTCATGCAAAAGCTCAATGTGTATTTTGACTGTCAGAGCTACCAGAAGATCTTCTCAAAAAGACTTGCCAAATAGCTCCTAAATATAGGGAGAAGTAGGGTTGTTCATGGGTTGGGTTGGGTCAGTTTACTAGTGTTTTTTCAATCAACCCGACTTGGTCGGGTAACCTAAATTAAACTGAAACCGACCCTCTATTAAGCAAAACCAACTGGTTGGTTTGGGTCAGTTTGGGTGCTAAAAAAACCTCTGAAGTTACTGAACATCATTTCAATTTTCATCCATAAATATATTTAAAACTGAAATATATATTTAAAACCAAAATATATATACAAATATGTCGGAATATATATTTTCTGGAAATATATATTTCGGAAATATATATCTGATATATTTCAGAATATATATTTTTTCAAATATATATTTCTTATTTAAAACTGAAATATCTATATTTGACAGATATTTTTTTAGAATATATATTTTTTCAGATATTTCAGTTTTTATGCAAAACCGAAATATCTACATTTAATAGTTTTAAATATAATATATATATAAATTAAAACCGAAATATATATTAAAATAGATTAGGCTTTTCATACAAAACTGAAGTTTTTTGTGCAAATATATCATAAATAACCAGATTTTTTTCAAAGCTTAAACAAAACACAAATAAAATATGTCAACTTTTGGCATGCATTAAATTTTAAAAATATTAAATAAAAAAATACTAACCTGTGAATGTGATGCTTGAGTCTTGAGAAGTTGAAACTTGATAGTTGAGACTTGAGAAAATGAGAGTTGAGATTTGAGGAAGATGAGAGAGCCAAGTGAATGAGTGATGTTGAAAACTTGAAATTTGAAAATCTTGAGAGTACTTGAGCCTTGAGGAGGTGGATTAGGAAAGAAAGAGTCAAAGAAGAATGAAATTTAGAAGAACACTAGGACTTACAATGCTTAGAGAGTAGAGAACCTCTAATCTAGGAAAGACATGACTCCTATTTGCCTATTTGGTGTAAAGGTCCTTAGAGAGTAAGGAATATCTCTTTTAATCTTTCCAAAAATTTAAGAAGCCAATCTTTCTGAAGGAGTAAAGGTGTAGGGACTAGGGATTTTGCTTGATTTGCAATGCTTGCCATTAATGCCAATCCTAAAGACTAGAAATAATAGATAACTAAGTTAGTAAGAAACTAGAAAGAAGTACTTAAAAAATTGATGCTAAAAATAAGTAACTAAGTAGCTGGAAAGAAGTAGGATAGAGATAATCTAATTAGATAACTCGGTTCGGTTCCGAATTATTGGTTTTACCCATTTTTACAACTCGAAACTGACCGATAGTGAAGAAAAATCGGCCAAATCAGGTTGGGTCAGGCCGGGTTGGTCGGTTTGAATTTGTTTGTAAACAGCCCTAGGAAGAAGATGGGCCTCTGAATATATGCATATGTTAAAGAAAATTGGCATATATGAATTGCTTGTTCAATTGGGTGCCTAGATCTTCTAGTCTTCTAGTAGATATTTTAGTTAGAGAAGGACTTGCCAAAGAGAAACTAATATGAATATAGCATCTGTAAAGTTGTGTGCATCTGATGGAGCATATCATCTTTTGATTTAAATCAGTCTTTAGCTATTATAATTCTAGTCTTTATTTCCGAAAAAAAAACTCAGGAATCAAGGGCATTGCACATTTTTTATGAATAAAATTCTATTCTACTACTGATAAAAGAATGCCTATACACATAAGAGTATATTTGTCTTTTCATTGTATAGGAGTACATATGTGTTTGGTCCCATGGGCGTTTATGGATGTCATTTATTTGTACTTTTTCACTTTAAACATTTATTTATATTTTTTCACTTTAAACATTTTCTGTTTTTGTTGTTTGGTTGAGTTTTACTTTAAATGTTTTTTACTCTCCACCTCAAATTAATACCCATTAAAATGTGCCACATCAGCATTTGATTTCAAGAAACACTGGACAGTTAGGGGAAACAAGAATTTAACGTTTCCCCACATGCCTCATGCACAAAAATCAAAGCGTTTCAGTTTTCTACCATTTATTTGATAAATGGTGAAACCAAACAATTGTTTCATTTTGCTTCATCTACAATAAACGTCAACGCCTATGTGGCACTGATGTGGTAGCGCTTTTTCAATGAACGCCCACAGAACCAAACACAGGTTGCTTGGAGTGATTCAAATCACCCAATGCCACCCATCCATCTTGGAGAGAAGTTTCTTGGAAAATTATGGGGATCCAAATTAAATTGTTATCGATCTAATTGTATTGGAAATCACAGAGACAAGTAGGTAAAGGTGAAAACAGCAAATAAAAGTACATCAATTATCCAGTAAAACATGGATTTCATCCCTGCAGAGGATGTGGTGGCATAAACTGATGGGCTCAATGTCTCTTGACCCACCTTGCAGATTTTCAAATCAAATTGTAAGTTTGAAACTTCTGCAACTCTTTCACTAAGATCTAATCCTTTTTACATTGAAGCAGCTGTACCAACTGTTGCACTTGGTAAGTAACCATCATTGCGACCATGCTGAAATCTCCTTACCCCAGCTACGACACCATGGGCAGCATCAGAGAGAGCTTGCTTTTGACTACCTAGAGAGCTTGGTTCCCTCTCTTTGTCAACCACCTCGTCCCCATAGCTTGATTGTGAGGTCCAGCGCTCTGTGGAGTCAGCTGAATTGGGTTCCCACGAAGAAGCAGCCCAATTGTGACTCACAAAGCTGTTACTTCCAGAGGATTCTTGCTGTTCCATCTCTCCACCTGTCACACCCCTTCTCACGGTTACATACTTGTGGAGGCTTGGCTCTGTTAGATCATCCCTGACAACCATCTCAGACTCCAAAATTGGCTCTTTAGCCTCCATCCTTCTCTTCCCAAGATGGAAATCGGAAGAAACATTCTTTCTGTGAGATCCATCTGCTTCAGAGGTTTTATTCTCTGAAAATGCAGCACAAGAGAGATTGGAGCTGGAACAGGAGTTGAGGTCAGCCACTGCTTCTAAGATGGAGCAGGCCTTGGTAACACAGGCTGGGAGGGAAAAAACAGTGTTGTTGTTCTGTTGGTGGAAGTTTTGAATATCTTCAAGCAATAACGAGGTGTAGGAATTGGGATTGAGATGGCTATCTGGGTTGAAACCCAGGGCAATGTCTAGGTCTCTGGATCTCCTAGAGGACCTACTTCTTGTTAACGTCTGGGGTTTCTGGCTTTCGTCGCCTGTGGCTGCTACAATCACTGCTACCACGTTGGCCTTGGCTGGTATCCCTTTAGCCTCTGTTTGTTCCTCCACAATCTTTTGCTGCCCCTCCTTGGCTCTGGAACTCATAGGATTGTTCTCTCGTCTGTCATTAGCCCCTTGTGGAAGTTCTACAACTCTGTTGCTTTTCTCATCAGGCTTCTGCATCTGAGCATAACACTTGTAAGTAATAATCCTTCACAAATGTAAGAGAATTTCAGAAACAAATGAACGATCCCTAAGATCAACTAAAACATGTTACCGAGTCCTCAAGTATCCTAAAATCATACTGCAAATCTAGTAACTCACCTGGGACAGAAATTGGGAGGTTTTGATTATTAATCCCTCCTCAACTGCTTCCTTGCTCTTTTCTACCTTGTTGTTGGCTGCATCCTGGGCTCTGAACAAAAGTTGTTCATTTACAAGGGTGTTCCCATCGATTTCGTTCATGGGGATTCTTCTGTAGGGAGAGTGCTCTGCTTTCCTGGAAGAGTTCCGGCTGAGTGAGGGTGTCTGAGGAGGATGATTATGATGGTGGGCATTCTCGTTGGCAGCTCTAATATTTGCAGGAGACTGAGAACGAGGCGATGCTGCCGTCCTAGGCCCACCACCAACCTCAACACTTCTCTTGACAGAAACCCTTTTGATTCCGGTGGCAGGTTCGGGGACTGCAGCAGCGGAAGCAGTGGCACCACCATTGCTCCTATCCCGGGTGGACAAAGAGGCCGGAACAGAAACCATCCTTGCTGGTCTAGACTTTTCCGTGGTAGGCGTTGCGGTTCCAGCATTTGGAGTTTCAGATCTCCTACCGGGGGAGCGACTCACCCTTCTCCCACTACCGCTGTTTCGCCTCTTTTCTTCCCCAGAAGAAGAAGAAGCACGATCTCTGCTACCGGATCTCTGCTTGTACTCAGCGTCTCCATCCCTGCTGGGTGTTCTCCGGTGAGAAGACCTAGATCGATGTTGGTGGCGCTGCCGATGCCGATGTCGGCGTCTTTCCTGTTCATCCTCTGCATCGTCGTACTCGTTATCATCGGCTGCTCGTGCGGAGGCATCGTCATGGTCGAAATCATAACTCCTCTTGGAACCCGAGTACTTCCTGCTTCCACTAGTGCCGAGAGCATGGGCGTTACTGCCGTTGTCGCAAGAAGCAGAAGCCTTGCTGGAGTTGCTCCGGCTGAGTCGTCCACACTGTATGAGGATGGCATCTACTTCTTCTTTGGTGCAGCAGGAAGTCCTCACAGGGGCTACGCCACTGGTGCTGCCACCATTATTAGTAGGATTAGCAGTAATATTGCTGGCATTGATTCCATTGCAGGACTCTTCCTTCTTATTGCCTACTTCTCCTCCACAACCACCACCACCTGCCGCCGCCGCCGCTGCTGCTGCTGATCCTTTTTCTTCAGTGCGTCTTTCATGGCTCCTTCTGTGTTTTATGACAAAGATCTCCTTCTTCACCTTTTCTTCGGCTTGTGGTGGTACCATCATCTTCTGCTCCTCCTTGACCTCTTCCTGGGGTTTCGGTTTACAGGGCGGATCTGGAGGGGAAGAAGCAACAGTCTGAGAAGAGCCCTTCTTGCTCAGACAACTACCCATCGTGGGTGAGAGAAATCCTGACCCAATAGAAGGGGTAGCTGGAAATATAAGAAAGAGAGGGAGAGTGGGGAAGAGGGAAGGAAAAGACCAGAAGAGAAACAAGAAAAGGGAGAGGGAGGAAATTCTAAAGAAAAAGTTCAAAAGTAAAAGAAAAGGCTATCGGTCACCTGTGAAATTTGGTTGGAAAAGTTTGAGTTTTTGCTTGGGTTAGTGGTACAGGTGCTACAGGTGAAGAAGAGCTTTCGTTTTGGGTAACCTTTGGTTTTAGAGTCAGAAAGTGCAAATTCAAATTTTTTTAAACGGGCGGGCTATGGTTTGTGTCCATCAGTTTTGTTTGGTGGAGGTGAGGACCGTTGGTTGTGTTGATATTGTTGGGATTGTTTGTTAGTTTAGCTGAGTTGTGAACCTTTTTTGTCAGAGACTCAGAGGAATCTTAGTGTGATTTGTCCATCAACTTTCTATATTCTATTCAAGTTGAGATAAGCTTGCTTCCTCAATTGTTTCTATTGTATGTAAGTTACGTAACTGAATTCTTTTCATCTTTTGTGTTCTCTCTAACGGCTATTTATCACGTTCAGAAGAAGAGGAGCGAAATTACCTGTCTGTCCATTTGTTTTTTGATGGGTAAGGCTTCACAATTTTTTTGGGATAATATTTAGGGGTTAAACAAAAATAAATATAGGGTTAATAGCAAATAAGGGCAACTTTTTGCCCTTAATATCAATAAAAAATAATATTTTTATATAATAACTGAAATAGGATATCTTTTTTGGGAAAATATCAAACAAGGGCTGTGCCACTGTTGATCTTCTGCCTCTGTGTAAGTCCTCCGACGAGGCAGTTGCATACGCTGCTGCTGTGCAAGCTGCAATTCTGACCCATGAAGGCGACCAGAAGGTCCAAGACCTACTACTACTGGACGTCACACCTCTCAGCCTCGACATCGAGACTGCCAGAGGTGTCATGACTACTTTGATTCCAAGGAACACCACGATTCCGACCATGAAAGAGTATATTTTCTCAACCTACTCAGACAACCAGCCTGGTGTACTTATTCAGGTCTACGAAGGCGAGCTCACCAGCATTCCACCGGCACCAAGAGGAATTCCACAAATCAACATGTGTTTTGATATTGACGCAAATGGAATTCTTAATGTCTCGGCTGAGGACAAGACTGTGGGGGTGAAGAACAAGACCACAATCACCAATGACAAGGGAAGGCTGAGCAAGGAGGAGATTGAGAAGATGGTGAAGGATGTAGAGCGGTACAAGGCTGAAGATGAGCAAGTAGAGAAGAAGGCGGAGGCCAAGAATCCACTGGAGAATTATGCGTATAACATGAGGAATGCAGTGGAGGATGAGAAGTTTTTTGGGAAATTGGATCCGGCAAACAAGCAGAGGATTGAGAAGGCAATCGATGAGGCTCTTGATTGGCTGGACAAGAATCAGTTGGCGGAGGTGGATGAGTTGGAAGACAAGTAGAAGGAATTGGTGGGTATATGCTATCCCGTCATCGCCAAGATGTATCAAGGGAGTGGCGGGGAGATGTCGGGAGGTATGGGCGGTGGTGCTGAGGACATGCCGGGAGGAGAGTATGGCCGGAAAAGCCAAGGTGGGCCTGGTTGAGGAGCAGGGCCAAAGATAGAGGAGGTGGATTGAAGCAAGATGATTTGAGCAGGACCAAAGATTCTGTCTTAACTTCGATCACTTCTTAAAACTCCTACTTTCTGTTCCTGTCCTATCCCAGGAATAGAAGAAAGTATGTAGACAATCGTGGTATACGGACTTACCACGTTGAATATACGACAAACATTAACAGAGAAGCCACCCGAATACAGACGAGGAAGACGAACAGTACTAATGCCCTTATTTGATATTTTTTCAAAAAAAAAAAGTTATCTCATTCCTTAAATATAAAAGTAAAAACCTCCCCTGACAATCATATCGGACATCCATTTCAAATGCATATCCCATTTTTGCACAGCAGGGTTATGAAAATCCACGAGAAGCGACTGGGCGTATTGTATGTGCCAATTGCCATTTAGCTAATAAGCCCGTGGATATTGAGGTTCCGCAAGCAGTACTTCCTGATACTGTATTTGAAGCAGTTGTTAGAATCCTTTATGATATGCAACTGAAACAAGTTCTTGVTAATGGTAAAAAAGGGGCTTTGAATGTAGGGGCTGTTCTTATTTTATCATAGGTAGCATATTGTGAATATCTATGAATAAAAAAATTGGATATTTCTTTCTCTTTCTCTTGTTTGAGAGAAGTTATGAACCTAAAATAACATAAATATAAATATAGTATTCCTTTACAGTGAAATGAGTTGGGAAGAAGTTGTCAATAATAGATTACCTAGAGAAATGAGTAAAATAAATTTCCACCCAAGATTTAATAGTTGCTTCATTCGCATTCTAGGTAAAATCCATCTTGTTGCGATATGAATGAATAGGAACAAATAAGCTTTAGCTAATGTAATAAAGATACCAATTGCTGTTTCAAATACCCCTCCTCTATGTTTTTAACCTTAATAAATACCTCCCGATACTTTTGAAAAATATCCAATTACTTCCCTTCCATTATTTATTTTCTTGGGCAGAAAAAGTTGATGAATTACATTAAAATTTTCAAAATACCAAATTTGCCCTTTGAACTAACCTTCAAAAGTAAATTTACTATAATACCACTAAAAATGTTGTCCTCTAAGACAATGAATATATATATATATATATTTAATGATAAAGAGGTAAAACCTTGTTTATACGCATGATGAAACCTAGAGTGAATGACAGAATGAGTGCTTCGCACCATAGAGTATCACGAAACTAGGTTAATTTGGCATCGCAAAGCCATAGTCAAGCCCATGTTACCAATCCCCTTACGAGGCTACCTCATGGGTGTCCTTACAAAGCCACACCTTTTTACTTCACAAGTTCCTCACGATTATTACCTCACCATTTGTCTCATGAAATAATTAAGCATGGTATATTCGAAAATAGTAAAGAAGGTAGAATGGAATTTATTGGTAATCATTTTTTAAACCGAAAACTTGCACTATAGCATTGTAGAATTGTGAAACTAAGAACTTGCAGAGAAAGGAATGACTGAATTGTGTCACTTGGTCATTCTCCTTAAAATCGCATCTGCCCCTACAGTGTAGCCGGGTGATTGCAAATCAGTCTCCAAAATAAGACAATCCACAGGCCACTAGTAGGCGTGTACTCGCTTACCAGACCTCCGTGAACCACCAAGAATGATGCTCAGAAAATCGATACTCGATAGAAAGAGAAAACAATGTTGTGTGTAAATGATCTATGTTTCTGAGTTAACCAACACTCCTTTTATAGAGTGTTCTCAGTCATCCGAATGAACACAAAAGTGTCCTTTTAGAGAGAAGTCTCTTCAAAATAGTGCATCTGTTCAAAGAACAAAGAACAAGAGACACAACAAAAAAGAAAACAGTTAAAAAATAAATTTGAAAAAAAAAGTCAAACTGGTCAAAACCAAAACAATTTGGTTTAGCGCATGTATACATGTACACATACACGCGCCCATGCCTCCACCCAACCAGGTCAGCGGTTTGCTGACCAAATCAATGGTTTTTGGCCAAAAAAACGGCTTTGAGGTAAAACGAAGATGACCGGTTCCCGGTTTTGCCAGTCCATCCATCTGGTCCAGTCCGGTTTTGAAAACCATGATCGGAATAGCCTATTCAGATTCCAGACCCCTATTCCTACAAATCGAATGGGGCCTTACTCTTGGAACTCCAAATACTTTTCTCTCTCTTTCTCTCAAGCCCCCACCATGTGGTGCAATAATGTGGGCATGACGTATTTGTCAATCCTATATTCCACTCCCATTCGAAACACATGTGAAGTATATTCCAATTAAGGGTGTCAATGGACCGGTTTTGGATTGGACCCCATCCAATCTAAAATCAATTTGGATGGATTGGACGGACCAACAAGACATTGAATTGGTCCGTTGATATAAGATAGGAATGTGTGTCAATGGACCGGGTTTGGGTTGAAACGAATCTAAATCAAAATGAATTTGAACAGATTGGACAGTCCAGACATTGAATTGGACTGGTCAAAATAGGTCCAAAACATTCATTTGATTGGACCTAGTCCATTTATAACGGACTCACATTGGACTGGGTCAGATTGGACCAAATCCAGTCCAATTGACACCCGTGTCTCCAACTAAGGACCAACTAACTAACCTGCTTACAAAATCTCTCTCCAGAAATCAATTTCAACAACTCTGCCAAATTGAACGTTGCTGATCAAATATATTTGCAGGGGGGGAGTTAAGGCACATGGACTATGCACTCAAGATAATGACTCTACATCAAGAGATAGCAATCCTACTAATAAGAATGAGTGTTATTCATCGAGCTTGTAGGAGAGAATAACCGTTCTTGTAGTACATTACGTCCACTCTTCCTTATTTGTAACTAAATTCACCACATGCGTACTCAACAACCAGTACCAGTGTGTGTATACAGAATCAATGAATGCTTTGGGCATCGAATCCCATTTTCATCTCCTTTTTCTTTCATAGGAACCTTGACAAAATTTTCAAATGTTATTCTGAGATTTATTTGAGAAAGATTTTCATTCTTTCTGTGTCCAAAGACTTGAGCTTTCGTTGGTTGAAAAGGTGCTACTTCTGTCAATAAGATAATCCTTTTACTAGTAACTAATTAAGGGTCCCTTTGGTTTGGTTTGTAGTTGTAGACAGGAATGAGAATGGGAATTGGAATCAGCAGGAATAGGATTTCATTCCCAAGGGAGAGATAGGGAATGGCCATTCCATCAAATGGGAGAATGCCATTCCGGCAAGAATGGAAAAGAGATTACGATTCCAAACCCCTATTCCCGTGAACCAAATGGGGCCTAATACTTCTTTACCAAGCGATAAAGTTTAAAGTGATATTTTTATCAACAAGATATATAGTTTCTACCTTTGTTGTTGTGCAAAGTCATGCATCCTACTACAATAGGAAACCAATAGAATAGTATATTCTTTGTATTCAGCAATCAATATTATATTGGGAATTGGCTGCTTTGTTTATCTAATAGAATTGAAGTAAGGGTTGCTGAACTAGGCCTATCTCATCATTGCTTTATCAATTATGAAGTTCATTTCAAAGAGAAAAATTGCTTCTATTTTATTTATTTTGTTCTTAGGTGCTTGTGGAAGGAGCTAATCATTGATAATAGGTAATGGAGCATTTAATTTTTGGGTTCTTCCTTTACATATTTGTACTAATGTTATTTTTCCAATCCAAAAGCAATGCTTTTATTAATTGTTGAAGTATTTGATATGATGTGCATTAGTATTACCCTTTTCATTCTAGTGGCTTGTTGCCTTTATTTATATTGATTTAGTATTAGCATTTTTAATCCACTCCCTATTGTCCTTAATGGATTTTAAATATTAATGGATTTTAAAGAGAAAAGCTGTATTGAGTATTGGGAATGTCCCTGTCTATTGGGAATGTCCCTGTCTATCATATTAATGGATTTTAAATATTAATGGATTTTAAGAATAACCATTGGGAATGTCCCTGTCTATCATCAATTCAAATATTAATGGATTTTAAAGAGAAAAGCTGTATTGAGTAGACATGTTAAGATTCATCTCATGGGGAAAGACCAAAGTCTGTAAATCTAAAAATTCAAGGGAGATGAATGCAGCATACTAAAGTTGTACTGAGAGAGTTACATAGAATTTCCAATTCCTGGACTGAGCGCAAAACAATCCCTGCATTAATCCCAAGTAAAATAGAGGAAAAGATCTCCTGAATATAATAAATCCCAAATTAAATATTGTGAGGAAAATTGAAACAAAACTGAAAAAATCAAAATTTCATTCTAACATGTGAGAATCTAGCATGGAAAGTCTGAATATTCTCCATTGAACCGAATTTCTGGTTATCTAACATTGATACTCAGATCAGCCTTATCCAAACACATAGCTAAGTAAAGACCTGGAAGCTTCTCCGAATCTAGAACTCAAAACAGGAAAAGAGATACAGTGGAAAGTGAAAGCCATGTTTGAACCCAAGGAATTTCAGATATTTAGATTCTTTGGACTGGCAGTCATTAAAAAGGAGCAAAGAAAAATCCCCTTTATTAATATAAAGAAACTGCCTCTCCAAAGCATTTAACATAACATAAAAGTGTCATTACCTAATATTGATACTGATTATCCAGGGTCTTGGGAAAGGTGTACTTGAGCACTACCTAACATTTGGAATTTTTACAGATAGTGACCCACTCTCAGGCATGGACCTGGTGTTTTCATGCTTGTCATCAAATGTCAACCTGAGTATCATTGCAACAAACAATGGTCCCTTCCACAAATCTCAGTGTGTAACAAAGCATTAGAGTCCAACAGAACTAAAAGAAATATCAGAGTTCAAGAATCAATGGGTCAAAGATAGAATTTCAATCTCTTGCACCTCTTAGGATTGTGGGACAATTGAAACTTGTTTCAAAATATAGTATTATAAATCCTAACTCTTCCCAAAGAACTTTTCTCTATTTTGTAAAGGTGCTATGTTTCTTTTCCTTTATACCCACATTATTTAGGTCCTTATTCCCCATTTGCCGATAACACTCTCCCCCTGCCTCTCTTTACCTGAATAACTTGTATCACACAAGAACACTGGGACTTCACTTACCCAGGCAAGTTTTACCTGGGAAACGCTTGCCTAGGTAAATGTAACGTACCTTAATGAAAGGATTTGGTAATATGCTCAAGATATCAAATCCCTTGAATTGAATCAATCTCAATAAATTATTTTACTACATTTCTTGATAAGCTAGATAAATGATCTGTGAACAAAAATCTGCCATGTTATCATTGCCAAATAAGTTTCCCTGATCTTTGAAGATCAAATTATCAAATACCATAGCCAATATATATAATTGGATATTGATCCAATTGTTCCATAAAGTCAGTGTATGCTTTTAGCGTTTATGAGGATTCTTCCTTAGCAAATAACTTAAATATTCATTATCAAATTAACTATTTCTCATCAGTTTTAAGTTGAGTGTAAATAAACCTATATTCCATACATTATCTCAACATATAGTTTTAGCATTGATGGGGAAGGTGTCCTGAATTTCTTCCTTAGCGAATTACCTAATTTCTATTTTTCTTTTCATTCTGATTTTGATTTTATTTTTCAATTGACTCTTTTACACCTTGTCTTTCAAATGTTTGATTGTTTATAATTCTCTTTGGTATATATAATAGAATGAAATACCTTAATGTGATTTGTTGAAAATATCACAGATCATAATTGTTTGTATCTTTTATTTGAAATTTAGTTGTAGGGAAAAGTGCAAGAGGAAGCTAAGATCATTGTTTGCATCCTTTCTTTATGACGAAATTCAGCATTGATCAACCTACACCCTACCACTGAACCCATCCTTACTTCTCCAATACTTAATTCGTTAACAAGAGTGAAGCATATTCAGTTCAATTTTGGTTCACAGAGCAGAGAAGAGAAAAAACACTCTGAATCACTTGACAAGCAACTTTTCAGCATTGAGCACTTCAATACTTAAACCATGCATGGCCAACATAAATCCCACTCACCAAGCCAAAATTTCTTGTAGTGCCTGAGCGCACAATGAACCCTTCCAAGTTATATGCAACATCATCTGCTTGGTCATATATACAATTTATATTCAGCAGATAATACATTATGATTTGGCATTTAGCCTGTGATGGCTAATTCATGCTCTGTAATAATTATCAAAAATGAAGAACATAGAGATATTTTCAAGGAAATAGATCAAGTGGCTTTAGAAAATTTTCATCTCCATTTTAGAACTTGTCATCAGCTCAGAGCCTCAGATGTCTCAGAGTTGTATGCTATTCTGTATTATCGTGGAATGCAAAGTGAACTAAAGACAACTTTGAAATTCTCAAGATTCAATAACATAGTATAGTTCTCTTTTTGGACAATCTGTGACAAAGTATTAGTTGATGGATTCATTGCTGCAATACAGTCAACAAGAAGCTCAATGTTGACCCATAAATAATCCAACAGCCAACATGAAACAAGTGAATACAGCTCCAATGTCCTCCCAAAAGAGAAATATATCAACTGTACAAAAACTTAATGGAGAGAGGAACATGTTATCAAGAAATAAATGCTTCTTTTTTTACCTGAAAAGTTTAAACTGTGATGGGCAAGAAGCAGTCTTCTTGAGCCAACTTGTGGACTTTAATCTGCTAATTCTTGTTCCATCCTTGTGGATTACATTGAAGCAGCTGTAACAATGGGAATTGTTTGACCTCTTGCTCCAATCCTTCCAAGCCCACTTCCCATTTGATGATAATCAAACTCTCTACTTTTTGCGCTCGCAGTTGCAGTTGGCAAGTAATTATTGTTATTACCACTGTGCCGTAATCTCCTTGCCCCAACTACAGCACCATGAACAGCAGCCTCGGAGATGGCTTTGTTTTCGATGCCTAGAGAACTTGGTTCCCTCTCCTTGTCCACCACCTCGTCTCCATAGTTTGACTGTGAAGTCCAGCGCTCTGTGGAATCAGCTGAGTTGGGTTCCCATGAAGAAGCAGCCCAGTGTTGACCCACAAAGCTGTTACTTCCCGAGGATTCTTGCTCGTCCATCTCTTCACCTGCCACACCCCTTCTCACAGTCACGTACTTATGGAGGCTGGGCTCCATTAGATCATCGCTCACGACCACCTCAGACTCCAAAAATGGCTCTTTTGCCACCATTCTCCTCTTTCCAAGATGGAAATTGGAAGAAACATTCTTGCTGTGAGATCCATCTGCTCCGGAGATTTTGTCCTCTGAAAATGCACAAGAGAGATTGGAACTGGTGCATGAGTTGAGGTCAGCCACTGCTTCTAAGATGGAGCAAGCCTTGGTAACACAGGCTGGGAGAGAAAAGGCAGTGCTGTTGTTCTGTTGGTGGAAGTTCTGAATATCTTCAAGCAATAGCGAGGCGTAGGAGTTTGGATTGAGATGGCTGTCTGGGTTGAAACCCAGGGCAATGTCGAGGTCTCTGGATCTCCTGGAGGACCTACTTCTTGTTATTGTCTGGGGCTTCAGGTTTTCGCTGCCTGTGGCTACTACAGTCACTGCAACCTCGTTGGCCTTTACTGGAATCCCTTTAGCCCCTGATTGTTCCTCGTCGATCTTCTGCTGCTCCTCCTTTGCTTTGGAACTCTCTCGTCTATCAGTATCCCCTTGTGGAAGTTCTACAACTCTATTGCTTTTCTCATCAGGCTTCTGCAATTGAGAAGAACTCTTGTAAGTAATATTAGTTGAGGAATGTCAGAATTTCAGAAACAAGTGGATAGATCACTAAAATCATACTGCAAATTTAGAACTCACCTGGGACAGAAATTGGGATGTTTTGCTCATTACTCCTGTTTCAACTCCTGCCTTGCCCTTTTCTACCTTGTTGTTGGTTGTATCATGAGCCCTGAACAGAAGCTGTTCATTTAAAGTGTTCCCATCGATTTCATTCATGGGGTTTCTTCTGTAAGGAGAGTGTTCTGCTTTCCTGGAAGAGTTCCGGCTGACGGAGGGTGTGTGAGGAGGATGATTATGATGGTGGGCATTCTCGTTGGAAGATCTAATGTTTGCAGGAGACTGAGAACGAGGCGATGCTGCCGTCCTAAATCCACCACCAACCTCAACACTTCTCTTCACTGAAACCCTTTTGATCCGATTAGCAGGCTCGGGGACGGCAGCAGCAGCTGTGGCATCGCCATTGCTTTTATCGCGGTTGGACAAAGAAGCCGGAACAGAAACCATCCTTCCCGGCCTAGACTTTTCCGTGGTAGGCGTTGCATTGCCAGCAGTCGGGGTTTCAGATCTCCTACCAGGGGAGCGGCTCACCCTTCTCCCACTACCGCCGATTCGCCTCTTTTCTTCTCCAGAAGAAGAATAAGTACGGTCTCTACTACCGGATCTCTGCTTGAACTCAGCGTCTCCTTCCCTGCTGGGTGTTCTCCGGTGAGAAGACCTAGACCGATGTTGGTGGCGCTGCCGGTGCCGATGTTGGCGTCTCTCCTGTTCATCCTCGGCATCGTCGTAGTCGTTATCATCGGCTGCTCGTGCGGAGGCATCGTCATGGTCGAAATCATAACTCCTCTTGGAACCCGAGTACTTCCTACTTCCACTAGTGCCGAGAGCATGGGAGTTACTGCCGTTGTCGTTAGAAGCAGAAGCCTTGCCGGAGGAGCTCCGGCTGATTCGTCCACACTGTATGAGGATGGCATCTACTTCTTCTTTGGTGCAGCTGGAAGTCCTCACAGGGGCAACGCCACTGGTACTGCCACCATTATTAGTAGCATTAGCAGCAATATTGTTGGCATTGATTCCATTGCAGGAATCTTCCTTCTTATCGCCTACTTCTCCTCCTCCTCCACCACCACCTGCTGCTGCTGAAGCTGCTCCTTTCTCTTCAGTGCGTCTTTCATGGCTCCTTCTGTGTTTTATGACGAAGATCTCCTTCACCTTTTCTTCGGCTTGTGGTGGTACCATCGTCTTTTGCTCCTCCTTCACCTCTTCCTGGGGTTTTGGCTTACAGGGCGGATCTGGAAGGGAAGAAGCAGCTGCTGATGCTGCTGTAGCAACAGTCTGAGAAGAGCCCTTCTTGCTCAGACAACTACCCATTGTGGGTGCGAGAAATCTTCGGCCGAGAGGGGAAGAGAAGCGAGAAAAAGGGAGAGACTGCAAAGGAGAGAGGGATTAAAAAGCTTAAAAGTAAAAAAAGAAAAGGCTACCACGCACGCTTAAGCTGAGATCATCGGACAAGTGATAGGAGAGAAGACCAAGAAAGAAGAAGAAGAAGACAGCTATTTCTTGTTAGGAAAAGGAAAGCATAGATTCAAATTTTTTCAAACGGGCGGGCTGTACGCTGTATGCATTTTATGTTTAGTGGAAGAGAGAGAAAATAGAGCCGTTGTGTCGGATGGGATGAGAGACTTTGTTAGCTTAGCTGTGTTGATGTCAGCGTGATTAGGATTTAGGAATCCATTTCGATATCACATCTGCGCCCGACAGCATATCTTAACTGTGTATTGAGAACATCTCCCACTCATAACTTTGGGAGATGCTCCCAATGCACGCTGAGATGTACATGTGGGGAGTTTGTGGGGCGCAGATGTAATCTCGTTCATTTCACTTTAAATTTTTAATTCTATTCATCTGTTTTATCTGTCTGTGCAAGAGCGCAGGTAATATATTTTAAATTTCTAACGGCTAACTACCACGTTGAGGAAGAGGGATTTGTCTTAACATTGTTTAATTAATGTCTATTTAGCATAAAATGGTGGTTTTTATTCTTTTCAAACATAAAATGGTGGTTTTGGATCATGTATTTTTGGATCAACTTGATTTTTCTTAAATTGATTTAAACGTACCTTGAGTTTTCTGAAAGATTTAAAAACATACATTGTAATTCTTTTATACCTCATTATCTTTCAAATTTTCAAAATTTACTCTAAATTTTAAAAGACATATCAAGATATGGGAAGGATGGATACGGACAAAAAATTAAGATATCCGGATACACTGAGAAATTCATACAAAACCTAAAAAAGCTATATTAATAATAAAAAATTGAGTTATATATATATGTATGTATGTATGTATGTATATGACTATAAATAAGTTATTTAAACCAAAAAAAAACATATTAAATGATTTATACGTAGTGTGAATATGAGGACATAATTGAAAATCATTGAAAAATGATGAAAGAATTAAAATGTGTGTATATACACACATACCTTAGTTTTTAAAGAATCAATATAATTTGTATTAACATTTATCATTGGTTAGAAAACATGACTTGGTTGGACCAATTGGGTAAAAAAATTGGTCAAAACCACTGACTCAACTAGTCAAACTAGAAAACCGGTGAACCAGTTCCGATTTTAGAAAATTGACAACTTTTTTTTTTGAAAAATTTTTAGCACATAAATGCAAACTTCTAAAGGCCTTAACTTTTAGGTCAGTGCTTGGACCAATTAACATTAAATAATGAATTTCAGCTTTTATTAGCAGCCATCCACTAAAAAGAGAGTATAATTAAGAATTAAAATACAAATTAATATGCTAGACACTTGGTGTAATAGTGGTGAGCTTGTAGTCATTACAAGCTGATGAGTAGGGTTCAAATCCCTCTGTCCCTTATTTGCAAAATTTCATACCTTGCAACAATCACCCTAAAAATATGGTCTCAAATGCGTTCTTGATGCAGATATAGATAGTGGAGAAAAAACTGTTTTTTTATTAGTAAGAAAAAGGATTTTAATATTATCAGAGAAAAACTTTTACTCCAAGCTGCATTTGATATGGGTAAGATCAACTTTAACTGGTCCTTGATCTAGGCATTTGAATTTTTTGAATACTATCACTTAGGCCATGTTTGGTTTGAAGGAAAAGATAGGGAAAGGAAAGGAAAAGTACGGAAATTTATACAAGGTTTGTAAGACTCCGTTTGGTTTGTGGGAAGATTTAGGTGGGATAGGATGGAAAAGTGTAAAAATTTACCTTTCCATTGTTTGGTTTTATATATGGGAAAATAATAGGAAAACACTGTTATGAGGGAGAATAGAGAAGAAGGTGAGGGAGAAGAGAGAAGAGGAAGATGGAGGGAGAAACAGAGAACTCCATGACTGAAGCTCCGATCTGTGTCTGCGAACCTAGATCTAAGTTCTACCGTGGCAGAAAACCTCTAATCTGTGTTTGCATCGATCTCAGTTCTACCATGGCGGAAACATCTTCAACGGTGGTTACTAGTAGCGGCGGTGGTTACTAGCAACGGCAGTGGTGCACCAGCAGAGGATGAAGATGAAGAAATTCGAGTTTTCTCGAGTTTTTCCACTAGGGTCGCACGGTTTTGGTGCGACCCCAATTCCACAATTTTGGGATCTCACATCCCACTTTTTTCTCATCCCATCCCCCTATTTCCCTTGAAACAAATGAGAGAAAAATGAATATTCTTGGAATATTCCCTTTTTCTCATACCCACCCCACAAACCAAACGGAGCCTAAAGGTTTCCCTACCTTTTCTTTCAAACCAAACATAGCATTAGTGTCAATTCTTGTCTAGGTTAACCCCAAACCCAAACTTTCCTATCTAAAAGGGAAAAATAGGATTTTAAAAATTTTAAATGAATTGTTTCATAGATGGAAGTATGTTTGAGTCCAATTAGGTCAGCCACAAGATATACTTAAGTCTATTTTAAAAAACTCAAGGTATACTTAAGTCTATTTAAAAAAAACTCAAGGTATGTTTAAGTCAGTTTATGAAAACTTAGGGAAATTATTTATTTTTGGGAAGGCACCATAATTGGGGACAATAACCCCCAAACTTTATTTTATAACAAAGAATCTCTCTAATATTGAATTCTATCTCTTGTCCCCAACAAAATCCATAGCTTGGAAAGATTTTGGTTTAGATGGGATGGGATGATAAAAGCAAAACGGGTAAAAATTTTTCACATTTCATTTCTTGGTTGCAAAAGGGAAAATAGTGGGAATATCAAAGTCAATAATAATTATTAATTAATTTTGTAATGAATAATGCTTTATTATTAATTATTTATTTCTAACCATTTATTAATACATTTATTTAAATTATTTTATTAGTTTCTTAAACAATTAATAATTTATTAACAAGTAATCGGTCTAATATTAATTCTTTCTTTTTGCATTTTAGCCTTTTTCATCATTAACAAACTATAACTCTTATTCATCACACTTATTTTTAACCAATATAATGAACATATAATATCAAAAATGTGCCCTTTTTTTCCCTAAATTTTCTGTATTTTCCAATATTTTATGTATTTTATTTTTTATTTAATTATGACATCACATGTTGATCCATTTGAATTAAACGGTTGAACGATTGATGCCATCACCTAGACAAATAAGTGATTACATTTCCTAGTCATTTTTAAAAAAGGGCAAATCTCTTAAACTACCCCTACTGTTCACGAAATTGACAAGCTGTACCCTTACTATTTAGATATTGTCTTGCGGTACCCTTAAGTTTTCTGACAATTGACAATGTCGTTAAGGGCTAACAGAAGGAAACGAAATGTCAAATTTGCCCTCCACTATTCCTCAAATTTCATCCCCTCTTCTTCTCTTTCTCCTTCTTCCTCTACTTCTCCTTCCTCCATCTTCATCTCTATTCATCGTCTTCTTGATGGTGAATAGAGAACTGCAACAAGAAACCCAAACAAATTGCAACAAGAATTCACAATTTTCTTGTGCTAAGTATGTCACCCCATTTCCTGTAAAAGAAAAAGTATAAAAGGCGCAACTAGGGTTACTTCAAATCCCTCCGAATCTCCATATGAAAACATAAAATCACAATTGAGAAAAAAATAAAAGAATTGATTAAAGACTACCGGTGATGGAAAAATCTACGATGCCAGGGTTCAACTATGTATCCCCAAACTTAGAAATTACAAGACACAGAGAGAGAGGCTGTGGTGGACTAGTTAAGCCTATGTGTTGTGATCCATTTGTCCCATGTTAGTAGAATGGGGTGCTAATGTGAGGCATCCCACATCGGTAGTATGGGATGTTGTTGTGAGGTGTATATGTGTTTGGGTTCCCTCCCTCTAACAATTAGCTTTTAGGGGTGAGTTCTCCTAAGGCACATATCAAATGGTATCAGAGCCTACACTATGCCTCCTAGTTGCAATGTGCGGCGTAGGTGGTGATGTCAGTATTGCAATGTTCGACCGGGACTAGGTGGACTAGTGCAAAACCAGCGTGCATGAGTGTTGGGGCTGCTGAGCGTGGTGGAATGTTGTGATCCATTTGCCCCATGTTAGTAGAATGGGATGCTAATGTGAGGCATCCCACATCAGTAGTATGGGATGCTACTGTGGGGTGCATGTGTTTGGGTTCCCTCCTTCTAATAGCTAGCTTTTAGAAGTGAGTTCTCCTAAGACACATATCACTATGGCTGACAAGAGAGGAGGAGTGAGAGAGAGATCAAATATTCTCTTTAGCTTTGATGAGATTTTGTTTTTTTCTTCTGAGATTCAAACAAGGGTAAGAGAGATCCGTTGCGTGTCGTCTATGTAAGAAGAGTCCGATTTTGTTGATGAGTTATTCTTATTTATATTTATTATTCTTTTGCGCTTTTGTGGGTTTTTGTTGGATTTAATCTCGAGCTTCATTTTTTGTTTGTTTGGGCAGAATCGGAGATGCGGGAGTAGGGGTGGCAATGAGTTGAGCTTTTCACGAGCTACTCGAGCTTGGCTCGAGCTCAAGCCCAATTCATTGGCTCGATTGTTAAACGAGACGAGCTCGAGCATACTAGAGCTCAGCTCGTGAGGCTCGTGAGCCGGCTCAAATATTATATATATATATATATAATAAAACTATAGAAAATAATATATATTATAATTATATAATAAAAATATTATAATCATTAATTATAATTCTTAATATTTTAAATATCAAATAAAAATATTTTTATATATAATTTTTTATTTTTATAAAATATTTTTTTTCAAAATCGAGCTCGAGCTTATGAAGTTTTGACTCGAGCCTGGTACTATTCGACCCGGCTCGGCTCGGCTCGAATCCACCCCTAAGCGGGAGTTGGAGAAGCGCGAAGCTTTTCGTTTCTTACTTAATTTGTAATTTTGTATAATACTGTTTTTTTTTTTGGGGGGGGGGAGTTTGGACAGAGCTAATTCTTCGGGGGTGTGGTGTAACTTAACCAAATTAAAAGCAAGGACACCAGCTTTGTTAGTTTGCTTCAATTCAGACATGTAAATGAAGTCTGGAGATGGGCTTTCAATTCCCTCTACAATCAGAGGGTTTCCTCAGCCACCGATTCCAAACCCTAAACCTAATCC